GATAGGTTAGTTACTAGGAAAATAAGGATATAAGAGACGAAATCGTATTTAATTAATAAAAATTATTTTCATGATTAGCTCACAGATAACTAAATGCATGTAAGAAAATTAAAGTACACCTATTAAAAGTAGGACCAAGAAAGGATGCTAGACAAAAATGAAAACAGGTTACAAATTTTACATAGGACACCGGTCATATGGAACAAAAGCAAGTAGAAGCAACACGGACAAGATGCTCCTTACGATAGCTAGTTTACATTATTTAGGAACAGAACGAAGTATGTGAGAGAGCCAAATAATTGAAGACAGCAAAACTAGGCTACCAGCCTGGTGTGCGGTGGCCACATGAGTTGGAACGTACATCAGAAGAGCAATGATTCCAAGGCCTGTTTGTCCGACAGCACAAGCAAGCACCGCATGGGCAGCATAACGGGCACGTAGGCCAGTTTGCCCAAGACCAGCTAGCATCGTACTGGCCCAGAGGGCTGTAGACATGCCTACTGTACCATAAGCTAGCATTCGATGCGTGAACTGAACAGCTGTAGGATTTTCTAGCAGATTTCTCAAAGTGGACCCGTAGCGAGGTAAAATCAGATCTTCGGGGATCCAAGATCCGGCCATTTTAGGCCAGGAATTATAGGTGAGCCCCGCATCAAGGCCAGCAACCAGGGCACCTTAAGTGACGCGAAGAGATATAGCGTATAAAATATACTTCTATCAGAGAAGTGGGAGTAACAACACATAATAACAAGAAAATCCAAGAAATTAGCATCACAAACTCTAATTGAGTTTGAACTTCATAATATGCAGTAGAACCGAGAAAGGATGCTAGACAAAAATAAAAACAGCTTACAAATTTTACATAGGACACCGATTATAGATAAAAAAAAAGCAAGAAGAAGCAGCATGGACAAGATGCTCCTTACAATAGCCAGTTTACATTATTTAGGAACAGAACGAAGTTCAAACTATGTATTGACGGAACAATTATAGATAAACTTTTGAAATGGGAAAATGCAATATTGGAGAACGAACACAAGACAAATCAAAAGACAAACATGAGCAAACGCATGGGAACATAACTTTTTTTAAATTTTAGATTGAAGATTTAATAAAAATATGAATCGAATACTTACCATACATCAATGTTACAAAAGTAATAGTCTTAGTAGAATGCGTCAAAACTTTTAGACGTAGTAAATTTGAATAACGAGGAACCTAGAAACAAATAGATGCATTAATGAAACTGATTTTTAGTGCGAAAACACCAGTAAACTAGGCCATAATTTCATACCAATGGGTGCTTGGTCATATGAGCTATCCCAGACCACACGAAAAGGGAGTACAAAACTGCAGCTGCAGATAAATGGGCGC